TGAAAAAAATGTGGAAAGATGAAATTCCCACAGAGCAACAGTTGTCACCTCTAGTGTCAACCAACACTGCACTTCTGCTGATAGTATTTAAATGTGTTGCCTTCGTAGATGTGTTCATGCATGGCTTTGCTGCTGCTGCGCGTGCAAGTGAGTGGGTAACAGCTGAGGGATATGTAAGCATGGTGCTCACTGAAGACAGATGTTTCACAATACACAGTGTGCCCTGCTGATTATGGAAGTTTCAAAATGGCAGGCATGATCTACAGAGTCTATTTCAGACTCCTCACATTTGGTAAGGCATTCCGAAGCTAAGGATTGAGACAAGTTCCAAGAACGTGAGAGTCTAGAGTAATAAAAACAGGGGCCTTTGGGGAAAACAAAGGGTTTGTTTTTTTTTTTTACTTTTAAACTTCTTTACGCAACCATTCCTGCTTTGCAAAATAAGTTTCCCACTGCAATTCACAGCTACATTTGTTTCTGTATGGAAGTAATGAAGTTGTCCACATCTTTGAGTAACAGTTGAAAATGAGAGTTCCAGACCACTAGGAATGTTAGATAATGCTAAATATCACGCCAGAGCAAACAAAACAAGAACAAGTGGAAATGGACAATGTGAGGCGTTGGGAAGAAACAAATAGAGAAGTACTGAAGTTCTTACAGGGACTGAGTGCACCAAGACTTATGTGAAATATTCTCACTCTGTGCTATTGGAAACACTGTTTTGGGGGTGGGGATGGAGGTGAGGGCAGGGAGGATTAGAACATAGAATGCAGCAGTGGTGCTTGATCTATTTCTGAACATCAAGAGTCATGTTTAATATAAACTTTCAATTCATGCTGTTGGTAGAGAGCAGCTGCAACAAGAATACATTCATGAATTCTATAATTCATTGTCTTGTAAAATAACAACTCTGCACTCACCCTATGAATGGACTGGATGATCAAATGGAAAGACAATTTAGATTGTTAAATGAGAAGTTATGATATCCTTATGAGTTCCAGTTCACGATTAATTCACAGGTAGCTGATCACTCTGAAATGTGACCAAGTTTTGAAGGCAGAGGTCAAAAAGGGACTTCTTTTCAACAGCTATTCACATATGGAGCAATCTTACAAGTTCCATAAATTTGAGAGATTACAGCAGCTTCTATGAATAGCTGTATTGTTTTACTTCATACAGATGCTGCAGTACCTGTTCTGTCGAAAGCAGTAAAAGGCCTTTTAAGTGCAATTTCTATTTATCTTCACTGTTTACATTATAAACATTCTGAATGACATGCTCACCACACTGCTATAAGGTACAAAACATCATTTCTATTTGTTAGAAGGTATTAAATGACTTACCTAAATCAAACTGTGGTGGACTGATTCCTGACACCCTTGCTCCCAAGTTAACTACTCTTCCCACCCATGAAGAAAAACGCTCAGGATCACTGATGGTTGTTTACAGTTGCTAGGAGGCAGGAACTTATCACAGAAGGGATAAAATAAATAATTTCTACACTTCTCAAAAAGTCACAAAACTCCTGAATTTGGTGCTGCCAGAAGAAGACTGCCATAAAGAAGGAAACTACAGAGTACCGACTTAGCTCCTCTGCCTGAGCAAGGGCTGCTCACACATAATAGCAGAAATCTACACACCAGAGGATTTGCAAACCTTTTTTTGCCATTAACTTTCTCTCACACCTTCATCACCTTGACTATACCCACTTCTACCAAAACTTTCATCATGTCCTTTCTTGAATCTCATCTTCCCTCATTAGATTCACAACCACAGTTTAATAAATAGCTTTAAGGGTAACTGCCATCCTCCACCTTGCATAACTAACGATCTAATGAGAAAACGGTATTTCAAATACATTTCAAATGCATCATGTTTTCTCTAGAATGAAAAAGCCAAACTGCAAGAACCAACTTGACATTCAAGTCCAGATCATACCAAAAGGAAATCCTTATGAGTGAGGAGAGAAATGCAGAGAAGAATGTTTAAGTCACAGATACAACTCCTGTGTGCCTTCTGGAGAGCTCCCACAGAAAAGGGAAGACGATTCTCCAACCAGCAGTGTAACGCAGCCAAAACCCTACAGCCGCAGGGAAGTTGCATTACAGTGTAGCAACAAATCAGCAACTCCTCCAGGCAGAACTAAATCACAAACATCATATTGAGAAACAAAAATTATTGCTCCTTTCCCTGTACCCTCAGGCCTGTAATTAAAGGAAACTCAAAAGAGATCCTCTTGGTTTCTCTTCCTTGAAAACAGAGCCCTGTTGAGCCTTTCTTCAGTTCCACCAGAAACTCCTCACAGTCTGCCCTGAAAATGGACTCCAAATTCAGAAGCAAAGATGCAGAATGCAGTAAAAAATGTTTTGTTTAATTGGATCAACAGAAACAGGTTGTTAGAGGTATGCAGACCCTCACAATTCTCTTAAGAATTTAAATACTCTGATTATGTGAAAACGGTAGATATTCTTAGAGAAAAGAGCAATTAGCACTGAAAAGTGAGGAGAAGCTTTAATCACCATAGAACTTAAAGAACAGCTGCTAATTATTGCCTGTGGGAAAGCAAAAGGCTAGCAGGAAGGCTAATAACAAAATTAAATACTAAATTTAAGCTCCTGTGCTCTCTGGCATCCACAAAAACACAGGGCTTGTGTTTTAGAGGCATCCAAATGGTCTACTTGGACTGCTTTATGAAAATGTCCTCCAGCTGCTGACCTGGCATCTCTGTCCTTCAGCTTGTGACAGGCAGCACTAAATGCCTGGAGGCCACCTGGGCTCATCCCACTGACCTCCATCAGGACGTTCAGAATACTGAGCAAGTACGTCACATTTTGGAATGCAAATGAGTAGGATCCATAAATCATGGTGGTTCTGCTGCAGAGGACATTTATTATGCAAGACGTGCACAGCGTGCTTCTGCTTGGTGCTCAAGGGCTTCCAGGAAGGTGGCTCCTGATGGTAAGGCTGCAGCACTGCCTGAAAGCCACAGAGGGCAAATGGGAAAGTTCGGGAAAACTTTGTTTCACAGCACGGGACTTCTTCCAGGATAAGGTGATTATTTAACCATTTTCCAGAGAGGTTCCAGTAATAGCATACTGCATCACAGCCAGGGATGTACAGTCAATACAGATTTTTTCAAAATTACAGTAAGCTTTGCAGTGACGTTCTGGTAGCTCATTCCAAAGACTTTCCTTGTTGGCATCCAGTCATCCTTGTAACGGCGAGGCAGGCATTGCAAGTGCAGAGCTAACTGCAGAACTGACAATACATCTTGGGGCCATTTTCTTGCACACAGAGCAACTAACTGTGCAACTGCATGTATACTGGTCTAAACAGTTTTCTGTTGGAGAGGTGTGTTTGTAGCAGCATGTCACCAGAAACAGCCAAATGGAAAACCAGCAGCTATTAAGTTTCTGTCACAGAAACTGATGTAGCAATCTAGGTTTTTGATAGAGAACAGTTTTCTAATCCTAATTTTAGAAACAGCATAAATTATTGGCACAGGTTTGCAGATTTTTTTTTTAAAGCAGTTGAAGGAGGAAAGCTTGCCTGCCTGAAAGCTTGCCCACTGCTTTCCTCTCTTCCACTGCATGGGCTGATCCAACAACAGATCAGCAGCCACCCTTCACCAAGCATGCCTTCCCTTCACATCCTCTATGACAGCAGTATTTGGCTTAAGTTTGCACTGTACTGCACCACCATTTCCTGCACAAAAAAGCTTTTCAAATCAGATATGCAACCCCTGTGAATGCATGCTGTTAAAAGGAGGACTGACTGAAAAGGATCATCAGCAACTATTCCACCACCTTTTCCAACGTGCAGGCTCTTTCATAGACATGGCTATTGGTACTTATTGCCTACTTGAGCATTTTCTCAAGTCTTGCACTTGCTCACTATTCCTCAGCTAGCAATGGCTCAGAAGCTACTTACTGATGGTGTAGTTCAGACTGCTTTATGCAGCCTGTCACATTCACCTTGAGCTCAAACCATCTGACACAAGCCTTCACAAGCTGAAGAACTATTTCTTGCCTCGTAGGTTGTACATATTCAGAAAGCAACAGATCTGAGACAGACACATACTGAATTCAACGGACAATTTCTCTAAAAAGCCATCTACTGACTGGATCAAAAGGTCCCAGCATCATCGTAGAAGCTGTTTTTGACACACAGAAATACAGCAGCGATTTAGCACCATCTAACCAAGGCAACTATTAAAAGCCTGCACGTGGCCCAGCACTCTTTCAAATACACAATCGTTATTATGTAAGCGCTGCTGCAAATGTAATGCCTCCTATTTTACGATGTCGGCCCACGATGTCAGAGGCAGATGTTGGCGTTCTGGCAGTAGAAGCCAACCCTTCCCACCAGTACTCCATACCACGTCGCTGCCACGCGACAGACGGCGGCAGAGGGGCAGCCTGACAAAATGGCGTCTGACCAGGGAGCGCCTATGGAGCAACGGCGCATCACTGAACTCCTCCACGCGGAAAAAGTCGGCACCCACTGACATTCACTGATACCTGCTGAGCGTGTTTGGAGGCCAACCAGCGGGTGTGAGCACGGTGAGGCGGCGTGCTTCAGCCGTGGTGCCAGCAGGTCACCTCCGCGTGTGCAGCGATGTGAGCGCAGCACGGGGGCCCTCGTTCATCGCTGGTGAAAATACATGGCTAACTTCAACGCAGGTGGGTGCTACATTAAAAAATCACTTCTCGTAGCTGAGAATCCGCTCTATCAAATGGAGCTACCCTGCCATTTCTGTCTGTTGTTGTCTGCACGGAAATAAATAGGCGGCACTACTTTTGGAGAAACCTACACGTCATTTTGTTTTTTACTGGAAGAAGAGCTGACCGTCAGTAAAATGGCAAAAGATCGAAGGCAGCCCCTGAGGGCAGCGTGACCGCGCCGTGCTTCCCGCCGCCCCAGCACGCAGCCCCGAGGGCCGCACAGCCGGGCTTTACACACGGGCTTTTCCCGGGACGAGAAGCAAACGGGTCGCGTACCAGTTAATTGCGAGGGACGCCACGCGTGCCGGTGACCTCTCTTCCTCCCTGTCCCTTAGGTAAGGCGCGGAAGGCCCCGCTCGCAGCCCCCTCACCTCAGCCCGGGCGGAGCAGCAGGTCCCGGCGGGCAGGGCGCGCTCCGGGGGAAGCCGGGACCCCCGGCCCGGTTGCCGGGCAACGGCGCGAGGCCGCCGGGAACGCCGCCAGGCACGTGACACACCGCGCGCACGACGCAGCGAGCGCCGAATTACGTCACCCCTCTCGCTCCCACCGCCTATAAATAACCCGCGGCACGGCGCATGCGCGGCGCGGGCGCGGTTCAGGGGTGTGAGTGCGTAATGGGGGTGGGAGGCAGTTGTGATGCTGCGACGTCACCGCCGCGGCCACCGTGCCCCGGGCCTCACCTTCTATTTTTATTCCTTTGTTTCAAGTCCCCGCCCCTCCGCAGCGGGAGGACGGGATGACGCCATCTGCTTCCCGGAACGATGACGCGGCCGCGCCGTTGGGGGGAGATGCGGCCGGAATGCTCGCGGGGCTTCGCTGCCTTAAAGGGCCAGCGCCCCCCGGCCCCGCCCCGCGCGCGGGGGGCGGCCCTGACGGACGGGCGCAGCTGGGGGCCGGGAGCGGCGCCGGGGGAGCCCGGCCCGGGGTGCGGCGGCGGCGCGGGCGGCTGCCGGCCGTTTGCGGTCCCCTCGCGGCTGCGGCGAGGAAGCCGCCGGACCCGCTCGGCACTCGCCCGGCAGGGGGCGGGAGCGGAGCGCCGCGAGCCCCCCCGGCGGGGCGAGGGGATGCCGCGGCCCCGCACTGAGGTCAGCCGGCATCCAGGGCGCCGTTAGTCACCTGCGGCGTGACCTTCCTCCCGCCCGATTTAGTAACGGCGCGGGGCACGCGGGATGGCGCTTAATAAGCGGGGTCGGGGCAGGTGGGAGCGGGGCCGAGGGAGCGAGCCGCCAGGCGGTGCTGAGGGATGTAGCGCTCGGGGAAACGTAAGTGCGCTTTGAGCTTCTGACAGGGGATGCGAACGTGGAGGTGGCTGTGGCTGAATGAGTGCTGCGGGTGCGCTGCCCGTCTGGGGCTTCCCTGCTTTACCTTAGGCTCTGATTGCCTTTAGTTAGGGCTCTGATTGCAGCTTTTGCCGTTAGTTTAGTTTGGAGTCTGCTCTTTGTAAGGGGCACCGTGGGTCTGTTGAGGACTGAACTCTTCCGGGAATAACGTATCTGCTCAATGAAAAACGAAAACAAATAATAAAAGAGCGTTTCTCTCACACTGAGGTGACATATCTTACTCACACATGCCAGCCTGATGAATATTGATAGGTATTTGAGCACGTATTGACCTGTTAGGGAAATACCAGAGTAACCAGCTTCTGTATGGCACGGAAAAAGTGCCGGAGGTTACAGTGTGATAGCCCCTGCTGCAGCTCTGTGTCCCCATCCCGTACCTCTGGAGCAGCCCTGCCCTGAATGTCCCTTCGGCTGCCTGAAGCGAGACAAAGTGCACTGCCACCCCTTTGGGCTTGTTGAAGAACTTCTGCCTTTCCGCACTGGGATCCAAAATAATCACTTGCATGAACTTAAGGAAAGAGGTAGAACTAATAGAGCATTAGAGATGGGTGAACGTGAAGTGTAATCTAATTAAGAAGTAAACTGAAATAAACTACTGCAGTTGGTACTAAACCATGAGTGTTGAAAACTGTTTATGCTCAGAAGGTATCAGTAAAGTTTTCCTAGAAAAGTCATTCTTTAAAAATGCAGCACTTTTCATTCTTACGAATATAAATAATCAGGCAGCCTATTCTCTTACCAATTTTGTTCCCCTGAATCCAAATTTGGTTGTCACACCACCCTCCTCATGAGTCATTATCGTCATCTCCCATCAGTCATTAAATGAAAGTTGTTTTTCCCGGTGAACCCCCTAACCTACTTCTCCTGTGCCAACAGGACCTTCAGAAACTGGCAGTAAGGTGCAGCTCTGATGCAGGCTTTCTGTTTCTCTGTGACTCATCTGACATTAACATAATTATGTTAGAGGAGTCAAAGTGATTTTCAAACTATGAGTAATGTGCAATACTAGAGAGAATGTTTACAAGGCACTGAGGCATATCAGCTAGCTGAAGTAACCAGCTGCTGATAACAGCTGAAGTAAGTTGGGGAATTAAAAAGTCTTATAACACAGTGATCCCTCTTTAGAACTCAGCGTCGCACACAGCTGGAAGATAGGTTGTGGGCTGCGAGGAAGAATCCAGAAATGGCACCGTGCTGCAATGGGGCTAAGACTGAGCCCGTGGGTAGTTCACACAAGAAGTCTTCATGGTTTTCATCCCACTTGGATATTTATGGAAAAGTCGTGCTCACGTGAAAGCAGTGATCTTTTCAAGAAATGGCTGTATTTACCAGAGTCCGTTTCAAAATGCAAGTGACACACATCCTTTCAGACAGGAAAACAGGATCAAAATGAAACAGCAACAAAAAGTATGAGATCATATTGCAAGTATTTTGGACTTTGTGTACGTGAATAACATGAAAGAAGGAAAACAGTAAGAATAAGGCAAAGCTGGGTGCTGCTATCGTGATGAAATCTTCCTCTCTAAGAAAAATGTGTCTGAAGGCTACTGATAATGGTACAGAGAATTATGGTGAATACATTCTGAGTAAATACTAGGAGAAGTATTTATTCATGAAATGTATAAGCTAGGAGAAAAAAAAAAGAAACTATAAGAATAAATTAAAATGTTAGTGCTTAGTTTCAACAGTTAGGTACCATTTTTAGAACTGACCAGCTTCCTAATAATTTTGTTAGAATAGCTGGAGGAACAGTTACCATTTTTTTCTCCTGCCTGTTTTGGTTTACTTTGGGGGATGATAGTGGGGTATTTGCTGTTCAGCTGGTTGTTTGCTAAGGCTGGGTATCCTTAAGCCTTAGTCATGTGCCGAGTGTGCACAGCTTTGCAGGTTTCTTAAGAGCTGAGTATACTTGACTTCTCCCAGAACTGGCCTGTGAATATAGAAGTCTGATTCTGAAATACCACCAGAAATGAACTACGAGTCCTGTATAGAGTACTAAAACTGAAAATAGTTAATAACTCTTCAGTACAGTGTCACAGTAATACAAGTGGGAAAGAGAGAAAATGCAGAACTGTTGGTAGGAAGACTATTTTCCAAGAGGCATATTCAAAGGATTCAGGAGAAACTCCCAAATCGCATCCCATATTTTAATTTCACTCAAAACACTGTGGAGAGCAGGCACTAACCATGCACTGATTATCATCGCTGATTTTTAGAGTAAATGAATACCAGAACTGGTCACAAAATAGTTGTATGTGTCTGAAGAAGGCAGAGGGAAAAAAGGGTTGCCATGGCATCTTGTGCTGACAGTGCCACCCAGCCACTTGCCAGAAGAGTTGGCCAAGACTTGGAGGCTTTTGGTTTTCTCTGCAGTGGTTTTCATACTGCATGACCTAGGGGCCATGACCTTCGTTCTGCATCTTCAGCTTCCCTGCTTCTTACTTGCTAGGAGATTTATGGTGTGCTGTGCTTAGGTGGCTTTGAATGGCAGCTGCTACTACAGTGAGCAGCCTGAATGAAGTTAACAGATCTTGATAAAATTACTGAGCAGAAACCAAAGCAAACATACACAAACAGAGTAACCCAAGCCCCATTGACAGAAATAATTTCCCATAGCACAACCTAGCAGTCATAAAATGACTCCTTTGCTATAAGTTCATGCAGGGTAACAGTCTTATAACGGCAGACGTCCACCACCGTAACATGCTGTGCCACCACGTGGATCTAGTGGCTGGCTTCACATGTATTTTCACCACTCGTAATTAGCAATATCCCTAGCTACCAAAACTCATGTCTCAGCTCAGATTGCAAAAATGTACTCCATTATTCCCAGAGTGTGTTCATGTGTTACAGTTTTGTGTTTTAATAGGAACTGTTTGCAAAACAGTTCTGGGCTCCATAGCTACTCGGAGCCCCCTGATCATACACTCCTGAAAGCATTACCTCTGCAGTGCTCTGCATTTCCAGCTTCTGCTTTGCTACTAGCTCCAGAGGAATTTTTTTCTTACCACAGTTTTCAGGGCAGCTGCATGCCATGCCTCCACCATCTGCCTTTGTCCTTCTTGGAGAAACTAGCATTTATTTGTAATGTTTATTCAACTTTTGGCAGCACCGCAGAACCTGTGCAAATCCCAAGTATTTAACCTTTGTTCCTTATCGAAGCTTTGCAAATTAACTTAAAATAGCAGAGCGAACTAGGCAATGAGGGGAGTTTGCTGGAAGTAACCGATAAGATCTTGTGAGTACAGCTTGCCCTTACTGGTTGGTTGGGTTTTGTTGTTGTTAGCTTGATTTTTAAACCAAGTTCACATCAAAGTATACAGACAGTAGTTCAGTATAGAAAATCATTACCATTTTAAAAAGCAAATAAAAGTCAACGTTGAGATTGGGTTTGTTTTCTGAATTAGAGAAAAATTAACTCATTTATTTTTGGACTTTCTAGTGTATAGAGATCCCATATAGAGGCTCAGTGTTTCCTATACTAAAAATAACTATCTTGACAATAATTGATAATGTCTTACCCTGAATTAGTACTGAATGAATGAGGACCGCATACCCACACCAGCAGCAGCAAAATAAGATTCCCCATATTCCTCCCCTGGAGGCCCTGGGAGCGCTGCTGTTGGCGGCAGAGCAACACCCCGGCAAAGGAAAACAAGTGTGCTAGGAAATACCTGGGAAATCCTCAGATGAACCGCAAATATTTTTGTTTGCAATGGCGATAGCTCCCCAGCACTTGTGTCAACAGGCACCGAGTTAGCAAGGACGAAGAGTGGCTGTTTCAGCATGGAGCCTGCTGGCCTTCTTGGGTCTGCGGGCTGGAAAGAGAAGAGCTGTTGGGAAGGATCTCAGGCACCGGTGTGGGGCAGGGCAGGGGCTGAAATGCCTCCTTGGAATATGTATTGACTGTTCTGCTAAGAGAAGGGAAAACAGTTTTCCCATTTTTTCCTTCCTTTAACCCTCTCTCCATGGGTTTCTTCCTCTCTCCATGGGGTTGTGTATCTCCACATGAGCCTTAGCTGTTGTTATACTCCAGAAAGACTACTGGGGGGCTTTACTACTGCCTCAATTTGGCAAGGCCTTGGAGCAGGAATGGTTTCCATAGGATGTGGAGGTGCAGCACATAG